TTCCATTCTGGAAATGTGTACAAGATATACATTCAAAGATATTTATGTCAGTGCTACTTAACGTTGTTTTTTAAAATTGAAAACATTCTAAATGCTCCAGAATAGGAAAATATGTTTAAAAGTTGGGTTGCCATCAAAATGTTTTAAAATCATTTTAATGACATGAGGAAATGCTTATGACATAATGTTAAATGAACAAAGGCAGGGCAGACGCTTGGTTTTCGAGTAGCGTAATGGCTCACACCTGTAATCCCAGCACTTTGGGAAGCTGAGGTGGGTGGATCACCTGAGGTCAATAGTTCGAGACCAGCCTGGCCAACATGGTGAAACCCCGTCTCTACAGAAAATCCAAAAATTAGCTGGGCATAATGGCAGATGCCTGTAATCCCAGCTACTCAGGAGGCTAAGGAGGAAGAATTGCTTGAACCCGGGAGGCAGAGGTTGCAGTGAGCCGAGATCGTGCCATTACACTCCAGCCTGGGTGACAGAGCATGACTCCATCTCAAAAAAAAAAAAAACCCTCAAATCTCTGATGACATATAGTCATGTATTTTTTAAAGGCTGGAAGCAAATTTACCAAAATATTAATTGTGGTTTTCTTTGGGTGCTGGGAATATGGGTAATTGATGTTTTCTCTTTTATACTCTGCTATGTTTCCTACAGTAGATGTGTATTATATGTTGTTATCAGAAAAAAATTATAAAGAAATGAAAGAGTAAAAAAACCTGTTTGGATCGAAATGTATGCTATAGCTGAATAGATATATTGATGTGCATTGCTATATATGCAACAATTTAGACATACGAATGCTAAAAGTATATATGTTTGACTAGATAGCACATGTTTCCAATACCGTTTAGCCACAGGTAGCCTAATGAGTCCCCGGGTTCACTGAGCAAAACGTTGCAGAGCTAAAATCACCCCTCACACACAGTTGACAAGGTAGGATACCCCGTGGGTGATGAAGCACCCATCAAAGCGGGTATGGAGAAGACTTGATTAGCAGTGCTGTTTTGTAAATAAATGTGAGTTAGTATCTTTGCTGTTGCTACAAGAATGAATCATTGTGGTTCACTTATGGGACTTTTGGGAGTCAAATTTATTTTAAAACATTCAATAAATAAGTATATTTTTGTTATAGCTGTGACTTGGACCCAGTTGCTGGTATCGTGCCTTTTTGGTTTGTGTATGTTATTCTTGCACTAAATTCCCTGGACTGATTTATAAAATATTTGGATCTGAGAGTCCATACATTCTACTTTGGGCAATGAACAACAGCTACAAAATATGCATGCCGTGGGTGCTACAGAATTGCTTAGGTGGTTTGGCTCATCTACTTTACTAGATTAAAAGAAAAACCCCTAAGTAGGCCTGTTTTGCCTGGGATGTGTAAACCAGTGTTCTGGAAAACCTTTCCCTTTGGCTTGCAGGAGCAACACAATATTGGTCCTTACCATACATGGCCTCCAGTTTGTTCTAGGTTAATTCTCAGCCCTGCACTACCTGGTGGGCTGCTGGTTATCAGAGCTGATGATTCACATCTACAAATTCTCAGGGGCTTTGTGCTTTTTCTTTTTTTAAAGGAAAACCATAGTAAAATTATAACTGCTCAACCTACCTACCTGGAAAATGTATAATTATAATAGTAGTGTCTTTCACCCTCTTTCTGATCATTTTTCAATTATTTTGGCTCTGTTTCTTTTAGAGCAGTAATCTTCAACCTAGGCTGCACATTAGAATCACCTGGGGAGCTTTAAAACCGTCAGTGCCCAGTGGTACCCTCAACCACTTCAACAGGAAACTCCAGCAGGACCCAGAAATCAGTACTTGTTAAAACTTCCCGGGTCGATTCTATTGCCACCAAATCCACTGTTTTAAAGGAATAGGTGGTAAGCTTTTCTTTTCTTTGAGACAAGGTCTCACTCTGTTGCCCAGGCTGGAGTGCAGTGGCACAATCACAGCTCACTGCAGCCTTACCCTCCTGGCCTCAAGCAATCCTCCCACCTCAGCCTCCCAAGTAGGTGGGACTACAGGTGTGTACCACCACAACTGGCTACTTTTTGTATTTTTTGTAGAGACAGGGTTTCACCACATTGCCCAGGCTGGTCTAAAACCCCGGACTCAAGTGATCCACCTGTTTTAGCCTCCCAAAGTGGTGGGATTACAGGCATGAGCCACTGCGCCTGGCCAGATGGTAAGCTTTTAAAAAAGCAGATTAGTGGTAGTGATGGTTGAACAATCTGAATGTACTTAACCTACTGAACTGTATACTTAAAAATTGTTAAGATGGTAAATTTTATGTTAGGTGTACTTTATCACAATACAAAAATTTGGGAAAAAACAGATTAGGACACTCTAGATCTGTGCTGTCCAATACCACAGCCATTAGCCACATATGGCTATCGAATGCTTGAAATATGGTTAGTTCAAATTGAGATAATAAATCAAGATAAGTGAAAAATACACACCAGATTTTGAAGGCTTATTGTGAATAAAACAATGTAAATTATTTCCACTAGTAATCTTTTTATATTGCTTACATGGAGACAGTATTTTTTATCTTTTAGGTTAAACAAAATATATTAAAAATAATTTCCCATTTAAAAAAATTTTTAAACGTAGTTACCACAATATATAAAATGACATATGTGGCCCCATTGTTTCTACTGGACAGCATTGCTCTAAATTTAAAACTAAACTAGCAGTCAATTAATTAAAAAGGATAAGGTTAACATGGTAAATTTTATGTTATGTGTACTCTATCACAATATAAAAATTTGATGACTCATGCCTGTAGTCCCGGATACTCAGGAGGCTGAGGCAGAGCATCACTTGAGCCCAGGAGTTCAAGGCTTCAGTGAGCTATGATGGTGTCACTGCACTCTAGCCTGGGTGATAGAGCACGAGCCTGGGTGATAGAGCAAGACCCTGTCTCTAAGGAAAAAAAAAACTTTTAGATTTCATTTATTTTACACATAT